TACCCAGGCCACGTTCTGTGCACCCGTGGGTGCACTGGACGCGTGAACCTGCGAATGAAAAAGTGACACGTCGATCAGGCCAATGTTAACATCCGTTTGAGCGTTAACATGGTCTGGTCGGCTCAATTGGACAGTTCACGCGGATACGAACCGGTCTGGGACAAAAGGGCCTCATTTCTTCCATTCTGTTTTCCTGAGAGCTCCTACCACCGAACTCTACCCATACACCAAACCCTTCCTCCATCAGCGGCGATAGAGCTCTGGCAATTCATTAACAACGACAAAAAGACCTCCGGCGGCGACGTATTCTTCTTCTTCGACTAGTAACTCCGGTGGTAGGGTCGGCGATCATTCTTCTTCTTCTCCTCTTCTTCTTGCTCGAGTCCGACCATTGTGTTTGCAAGATCTGCAATCAGGGATTTAGAGAGACCAGAACCTTTAGATGCACTTGCACCTGCAAAAGATGCCGTGGAAGCTACTCTAGAGGCAGACACCAGAGGTTCGAAAGAGAGTGTTTGTTTGCCTATAACCCAGCTGCTCGCACCATGATCCTTGCCACATTAACGCTCAAACAGACGTTAACACATCACCATATTGTATTGTAAGATGTGCAGCTGCAATTAGGTGTAAACAAGAAAAATCGAAAAGCTGAACCAAATTGAAAATTCTACTTAATCGAATCAATTGGTTCGGTATTTTAGTAAAATCGAAGGTACTAGTTTAGTTTCAGTTAGCCAATATAAGAAAATGGATAGTTAAGTGAAGCGACGGGTATACATATACTTATATATATTATATATATTTTATAATATCTTTAATATATATTTATAATATACAATATATTGTTTATTATTTATAATATAATATTTTATATTTATTATATATAATAGTATGATAATCGAAAAACCGATGAACCAAATCGATCAACTAATTAATCAATTGGATTCAGTTTGGTTTTAATTACCATTTTTCTAAAAACTAATACCATCAATTTAGTTAGAAAAAATATCCACAATTCAATTAACCAAATTGTGAATGCATGGTTTTTAAAAACGAACCGATCAAGGGAACAGTCGAACTGTTCTAACAAAAAAAAAATTAAAAATTTAAAAAATGGTCAAAATCGTTCGAACGGTTTGAATGATTAACCGACCAATTCAGCAGTTTGTTGACCAAAATCAATGGTTTTGAGGGAAAAAACAGTTTTGGAGGAAAATGAAACTGGTCAGGTTCAGGTGACCGGTTCTCGATTTTTTCGGTCCGGTTTTGAAAACAGTGTGCAAAGGTAGTTTGAGTAGGGTGTGAGTAGAGAAAGTGAATAGGATCACATTTATGTGGATGCACCGTGGAGTGTTATGGTTTAACAACGCCAGAGGTAAAAGCTACGTAGATTTTTCTTTTTCTACCAAAAAAAAAAAGGGAATGGTTATATCAAATATTTCCTTTATTAAAAGTGCTTCAGTGATCTTATCAAGCCAAACCCATCATACACAAAATCAAAATCAAAGCAGACAAAGTTACCACCTGATCGTAGTTGGTTTTATATTGTTGTTGTAACTATCATAGCGTCATCACTGTATTATTTCAGATTTTTTTTTCCCAGATATATAACTATATTGTTTCTTATCCGATCTACACATTAACTCATTTATTGAAATGGAAGCAGCTACTTAATAAGTTTTTTCATGATTCAAATTAGTTTTGATAAATAGATATCCAACCTAACCACATATGTCAGATATGTTGATGTAAACCTAACTACATAAATAAATAGATATCCAACATAGAGCCATGGTCAAACAATTTAACTCGGTTCAATTCACCAAGAAAGCAACAGCGCTGAGCCATTTATTCACCGACTTTCTAATGTCCCACCACAGAAGTTCAAAATTCCCCGACTTTCTTGTATGGTAGTGTTGTTTGTTCACCGTGAAATAGAAATGAATATTTAACACGCAACAGTAATGTTATGTTATCACTTTCTTTCTTTTCTTTCTTTCTTTCTTTAAATTAGAATTATTTCAGGTTCGAATGCTTTATCTGGTAGGTCTGAAAATTGATCTGGTCTCCTTTTTTTTAACTCGGTTCGAAAATTCTAAGTCAATTTTAGCGAGAGGAGAATTGAATTTTGATTCCACCCACTAAATTGATACTTACAGCAAGGAAGATAATAGATCTGGAATTTGAATTCAATTCACATCAGAGTTCATGATGCCATCATACAGTTTGGGTCAGTGTAATTAAGGGAGAAGGTTTTCAATTCAGGAAGAGATATTGTTTATATGGGGATTTGGGGATAAATATATTTGGGGAATTAATAAATGAATTATGAGATGGAGTGGAATGTCAGTAATATCAAAATGTAGACAAAGACAATAAATAATAATAATGCCGACAATCCAAATTGAAATACTTTTGGCTGGAACGGTGGAAATTCAATTAATGCATACCTCCCCATCAAAGTAAGTATGCCACGTCTTCAACATAGAATTTATAACTTTCTCCCATGTTCACACGTTTTTAATCCCTACACGAAATCTGATGATCCAATGAGCAGGGATCCGGTTCGAATCATTTTCTCTTCTGTTCCTTATGAAGATAACATGAATGATATAATAAGACAAGAGATGATGTGGTCTGGTATTATATTAATGGAGAATGGCCACGTGGCTATAAAATTGAACATACAAAACGATTGAATTTAAGGCAAAATCTATAGTGCATCCAACACAGGATTCAGCAGGCAGTGTGAACATATTTAATATACACTCAATAAGTAAATATTCTGACAACTGTATTAAAATTTTGTATCATTTCAAGGTTGAGGATAGTTTATTTTAGCTAATACGACATGTGTTACAAAATGTTTATCCTATGTGTCTACATCATCTGAATTCTGAATTGAGAAGGTACAGTGTATTAAATATGAAAGTGAACTAACGTCTTTACCATGGTTTTCAAAACCGAACCGGTCAGACGTCTGGTTACCGGGTCGAACGGTCCGATCATTCAAATCGAATGCTTGGATTGTTCCGGCAAAAAAATAAAAAATGATCAAAACTATTTGAATAGTTAACTACCCAATTCAACGGTTCATTGATCAAAACCAACGGTTTTGGGGGGAAATTCGGTTTTTGAGGAAAACGAAACCGGTCACTTGATCAGTTCCCAGTTTTTCTACTCTGACCGTCCAGTCCAGTCTGATTTTGAAAACTATGGTCTTTACTATAATTGATTGAGATCTAAATTTTAACACTCAAATCATGTGTCTAGTCGTCGAGCTCTCAACATTTAAAAAAAAAAAGTGATTAGAAATAAATTCATAAGCATAAGAAAAACAGATAAACTTTGTGATGTCTCAAGTTCGTCAGTCTATCCGTAGCTCAATTTAAACACTGATCATATATATATGTATGTGGGAATTTTAGATCATGATAATGATAGCTATAATGTATAAATTTTTTATTCTTTTATATTTTATGTTTTTCACTATGAATTGGATGCAGATTGTAAAATCCGAATATGACTATGTAAGCAACTCATATTGGGCTACAAAGTTTTGGGTATTATTTATAGTCTACCTACTTGGCATATTCTTCTTTTTGTAATGTTTTATTTTCTTAGTGTATTTTTATTATTCATTTATCAAAAAAATGTAAGATTTAAAGAGAGGGAATTGAATGCAATGAAAATTATAGTTCAAACTAAATTTTAAACCTCACAATTAAATATGGATTAAATTCAAAAAATGGATATTTTCGTTAAAAAGAAAGCTACACAATCTTATTCATATTTCTATATTTTTTTTGTAAAATTTATGTAGCTTTTTTTCATTTTTTTTTATATTTTATTACTTCAGCATGGAAACACATAATAGATAATTAATTATTAATTTTTTCATTGTAATCTATTAATCTCTGCTACACAGGAAAATACTTTCATTTTTGGTTAGTTTTTAGATTATGTATTTCATTTTCATCACCAATAAAAAATCTTGTTTATTACACTTATTTTTTTAATTACATTAATAAAAATATCATTAATGTGTTTTTTTTTTCTACATTTTTATAATTTTCTATATTTATTTTTATTTAATTTTTTTGTACATTTTTGACCAATTTGATTTAGACGGTTGAATTGCTTAGTTTGGGTAAAGGATGGTTTTGTTTTTGAGTAAGTTTTAAAATATATGGGTCTATATTGTTAAAGGTATTGGACATAAATCTAATTAGTAGCGTTTATTAGTGAAAAAGTAACTTAAATATAGAATTTAATAAGAGAGATTTAGAGTTAATACCTTTAATATAAAAGTTAATAATAGGGGATTAAATGAGGTGAAAAGCATTAATTAATATTACATTTTCAACCTTCATAATTAGAGACGGACTAAATAACAAATGTAAGCATTAGTAATAAAAGTGATGGGATGGGTTAAATGAGGTGAAAAATATTAATTAAAATTACATTTTCAACCTTCCTACTAATTTCCTTCTACTCCTCTCTCTCTACTGACCCAATAAAATGATTCCAATTGTCCCTAAGTGCAACATAGTGACGGGATGTTCAAATATTGATAGTTAATACAAAAGAAATTGTATATTGGTGTAAAGAGTGGATAGTGATGGAATATTCAAATATTGATAGTTAACACAAAAGAACTTGAATAACTTTTCTATCGATTGGTGTGGAGAGTGGATAGAGGTACAGAGATTTTTTTTAATCCTTGAAGAAATCTGAAAGGGGCTTTTTGTATATTAATGATCAAGCACATAACAGAAAATTTCTAAGAAGAGACGAAGAAGAAAGAGAATGGTGAAGGAAAAATTCGGGCTTAAATGAAATAGTTATTTTCTAATAATGGGTTAATTAATGTTTTAAAAATTGATATCTTTTAAAAAAGAGTATTTAACAGAGGGGTTAAACTCTTGGTTATTGGGTTAGTAGAGAACGTAGTAGAGGGAAGTTAGTAGGAAATCCAGACATAGTGAAGGGGAGAGAGAGAGAGAAAGAGAGAGATTATAGAGTGACTTCACTACCAATGCACGTACACAAACAGAGACACAGACACAAAAGGAAAAAATAAGGGCAATAACCAGTTGGGCTGGTTACGTGAAAGGAGCATAAATAAGACAAATCTAGCTTATCTCTAATTCTCTGTGTGGTTTCTTTTTAGGAGAGTTTGGTTGGACGACAACTTCGACATTGTCGCCTTCAACCTCTGTAATACCCTTGTAGTGGTAATATCTGGCGCATATTAGATAGTAGATGATATTCAAGATTCCCAAAGCTGCTATAACGAAGTAGAAGTAGTCGAGCCTGCCGGCGTTAATGTTGTTGTCCAACCATTTGGGCTGCCCGTGCTTTCCGGTGATGAGGTGAACCATGGTCACCACCAAGCTGTTCAGGTAGTTTGAACCGGCCAAGGTGCAGAAGAACAGGGCGTTAGCCATGCTTCGCATCTGTTCGGGGAATTGTTTGTAATAGAATTCTATCTGGCCGATGTTACTGAAGGCTTCTGCAAATCCCATGAGAACAAGCTGTGGTGCCAACCACAGGACCGAAATGGGTGCCATTCCATCTGGACGGGCATGAGAAATGGCCGAAGACCTCCTCTTCTTCTCCACCAACCCTGCAACTACCATGGATACGGGTGCGAACACCATCCCAATTCCAATTCTCTGCAGAAGTGTTATTCCGCCTTCTTGTTTGGTTACTCTTCTGAGTGCAGGGACGAGGACCCGATCATAGAAGGGAAGCCATAACCCAATCGTGATCATCGATATGATCATCAACGATCCAGCTGGAATCTGAAACTTGGGTCCAAGGTGCCGGTCCATTTTCAAGGCTTGCACCGTGGTGAACGTCCATTGCTGAGCCATTGCAGTGAAGCAGATGATGCAAGAAGCCCATATCGGGACTACCCGAATCAGGCACTTAACCTCTTCGACTTGTTGGATGCTGCAGAGGCTCCACTGATTTGAACGCGACCCATCGGGCTGCACTTCGCCATGAGCTATTATAGCAGCTTTGTTCAGCACTCTGTGTAAAATCACAAATGAAAATTATTGTACTTAAGCCAGCAGTACTGGCTGTTTACAATAAACAGTGGAGCTATTAGTTCTACTTGAGTACTTGTATTGTGGATGGATGTAAAGCTATGAAATAAACAAAAAAGATGTATTGAACATCTCTTGAAGAATTCATTAATTGGCCTCATTATCTAATAGCCTAGCTAGCTTGATTGAATGGATGGAAATTAACATACAGAAATTACGGGAGAGGGTTTGCTAACAGAGTCCTTTTAGTGAATTTTCCCAAGGACCAATGAACATTAAAACAAAATGAATTTAATACGTGGTAAATTGGTTTGGAGGTTGGAGATAAATAAAAAATAAAATAAAACGAAAGGAGTTCACATCTCCTTTTGGGAGCATTTTGTGTGGCCTGTTGGGAGCATTTTGTTGGTAGCGCATACCTCAGCCTCTCCTTTTGTTCATGCACTAACATTTGCTAATGATTTTTCCAAAAAAAGGGAAAAAAAGGAAATATATAAAAATATAATTGGAATTCCACTTTTCAATTCGGATTAATTAGATGAACCGATGGCTACCAATGATAACACTTCACACTAGCCATAAATGCTAAGTGAGAAATTGAGTGCTTATGGGTTATATGTATTTTATGATGGATAGGTATAATTAATGCTACCAACAAAACGCTCTAACATCCGCCTTGCCCGTTGCCACTTGCCACCATTCATGGGAGATGTTCCCCATGTGCGATTATTATGGCCAATTGGGATAGTGTTTGTGAGGAGTAGCAGATCATCCGCTAAACAGCGATTGCATTCCATCTAATTCCACAATCCGCTACACAATTCCACATTTTATGAGACATGCCACTAAGTTAGTGAAAAGACAAAAGAAACCATTGGTAGAAGTGAAAACATGAGGGCAGTTTTGTCTTTAACAACGTACTGTATTTGATGCAAATAAACTCGCATTTAGGGGTGCTAGTTTTCCCTGTTGTCCCTGACGGGTACCCGGGCTCCCAGACCCGATAAGGTCGGGTATGGAGGGTACTTTGGCAGGGTTGGGGTCGGGGGTGGAGCGATCCCTGAATCCCCATTCGGGGTCGAGGACGGGGATGGGAATGCAATCCCCGCCCTGAATCGGGGCCGATTAATATATATATATATATATATATATATTGTATATAATATTATATATTATATAATTATAATAATTATTATTCATTTTTTTACAAGATTAAAACTTAAAAAATAGTAAAACACTAAAACCCTGGATAGTAAAACACAAAACACTTCGACTTTGAGTCTTTGACAGAGAGAAGAGAGAACTCTGTCTTTGAACCCTAACTTTGTGCCTTTGTCGTCGATTCGCCGACCGCCGTTGCTGTCGCCACTCACCCGTCGGACATTAGACAGACAGCGATACTCGAGTGACAGAGAAGAGATATTCAAAGAAGAGTTTCAATTCTTTAATCTTCCTTCAACCTTCGTCTATCGTCGATCGCCATCGCCGTTGCCTGTCGAATTCTCTCTCGTCACCGACCTCAACTCTCGCAATGGTTACAGTCCTCTCTCTCTCTCTCTCTCTCTCTCGTCTCAATCTCTCTGTCTCAGACTCTCAGTTAGGGGTCCAATTCTCGGGTTGGTCCAATCGTTCGAATTGAACAGATGGCCCGTTCTGACAAAAAAAATAAAAAATGATCAAAACTGTTGAACGATTTGAATGGTTCAACTGCCCGGGTCAATGGTTTGATGACCAAATCAATATTTTTTTAACAAAAATCTGGTTTTGGGGAAAACCGGACTGGTTCCTTCTAGTCCGACAGTCCGGTCCGATCCAGTTTTGAAAACCATGAGATGGGTGGTGTGGATTAGCCACAAGATGATAGATAATAAGAATGGATGAGTTAATATGGAGAAGCTCTCTACCAACCTCACTGAGTCACTCGTAAACATTTTTTTTCAGAAATTATGGTTTACAGACGCGACAAAACTTTTTTTTTTCTGTCTTAGTTAATGGAAATTAATGTAAAGCAACTTGGGATGTATACCTGAATTGTTGTGTGAGAGGAAGCTTTGAGATGAGAGTCCCCTTCATGGGTGGGTCATAAAGGGCTCCCGGCTGCTCTTGGCTACTGGGAAGCCTTAGCTTACGCTTCTTGTAAGCTGCGACAAACACCTGGACGACGCCGGAGAAGACGCTCCCCTCCGGTGGGATGTAGACGTAAACCCGCATGCCAAGGAAGAACAGAATGATCGAACAGAACATGAGAATGGTGGGGATGCCGAAACCCCAGGCCCAACTGATGCTGTCTTGGATGTAAACAACGAGAGTTAAAGAGATCATAATAACAATAGTGAAGGTGAAGTAGTACCAATTGAAGAAGCTGTTGATTCCTTTTCTTCCTTCTTCAGTGGTGGAGTCAAACTGGTCGGTGCCAAATGGCATGCTGCATGGCCTGATCCCACCCCCGCCTACAGTTAAAAAACCCAAAGCCAAGTACAGGAAACCTAACTGGGCAGCCGTGGGACCGGAGCATTGATTCTGTTGTTGCAGCTCGGTGGAGCAGGGGGCCGGACGCAACGCCGGCACCATCGCCGTTGAAGTTATGGCCACCATTCCCTGTCAATCAATGATCGCCATTTTAAAACCATATCACTGAATTCGATCGGAATAAACATATATATATATATATATATATATATATATATATATATATATATATATATATCCAGGAATTCGATAAAAGGGTTGTCATTGTATGATGAGTCAAGATTAATTAACGAGATAAAAACTAAAGATTCACGTAATTAAACAGTGAAAAGAGAACCCTCCCTCCTCCTGGCCCCCAACTTTCTACCAGGTTTATATGCATTAGCAGCTCTCATCTAGGACCTGTGATGGCTATAATGAACTAAAAATATTTTATCAAATTTCCGTGTTAAGCAAAAATCTGGAAGCAATATAAAACTCTTCTGAGATATCTAATAATTAATTCAGTAGGTAATTATAGTCTGAACCTAACGAGCACATGGGTCATTTTTATTCAACACAGAAAATTAATAAATAAATAAAATAAATGGGAGGCTGAATTTCCTGTCAATATTGCTGTTCGGAGAAAGATAATCACAAGAATCAAGAGGTTAAGACACAATCTGGAGATTAAATACCAGCAAAGAGAACAAGGATGCGTAGGCCAAGGTCCGAAACTTGCCGAGGTAGGCGTCAGAGAGGAAGGCTCCAATCAGGGGTGCAAAGTTCACTGTACCGGACCATATGTTCATCACATTTGCAGCAAACACCTCATCCATGTGATACTGTTTCAGCAGGTAGACCGTGAAGTTTGCCAGCAACCCAAATGTCGCTAACCTTTCAAACGTTTCGTTCCCTGCCAATACTCACTTCTGTCAGCTCCATTTGCCAAGAAGACAGACAGACAAACAGACAGACAGACAGACAGAGCTAAAATACCTAAGATGTAAGGCATGGTCTTCCATCCACCAGGCTTTCTTTGGGTTTTCCTGGATTCTTCGACTGCTCCGGGTTTCTCGTCCTGTTTGTCCGCCGGTGATGACACTGGTGTCGACGACGATGAAGAAGTGACCGAAAAATATTTCAAGAAGCAGAACCATGACAAAGGGCTGCTTAATTTCCTCATGTTGTCCTCTCGGCTCCTCCACCCACACAGTTGGTAAAGGTCAGTTCGAAGTCTGGAGGTGAACAAACCCTCACTGAAAGTCAAGCCTATTAATAACAAATAGAGAGAGAGAGAACCAAGCCTATTAATAACAAATATAGAAAGGGAGAGGGAGAGAGAACCAAGCCTATTAATAACAAATAGTCCAACGGAGGGAGAGGGAGAGATGATCAAGTGGCTCCCAATGGCCGCTCGACGCAATAGATACAGGTCGAAACATCAAAACTCACAACACAAGAAGACAACTCGGTAAATCAGTCTCCACCAAGAACGAAAGACAGTATCATCCTGAAGGAGCTGACACGTCACTGCTTCGTACTGTTAAAGATAAACCGTTGGTGAAGCAGTTTTTTTCCCAATAAACGAGCAGAAAATGGGCGGGCTAGTTTTTAAAACCTAATTTGTATAATTGTATTGCTGGTTTTTGAAAATCCCCAACCCAATTTGGATTGTTTTTTTAATTTTGTATATTTATAATATATTATGTATTATAAATAATATATATATATATACACTATTAAGTGTGTATATAAATATGTATGAGGTTTATACTTAGTAATTCTAAATGATGATAATAATAGTAATAATTAAATTAAACATATTTATGATATTTTTATTAATCCAATTAAAAATGATTAAATTATAATTATCATTAAATTAGATACATTATTGAAAATTTTGGATACATTATGATCATCTAGAATTGAAAAAATGCTACTGAATTTCTATATTTATTTCTATTATAAAAATTAAAAAAATATATATTTTAATTATTTTAACTTTTTATTTATAAAACTTTTATTTCTATTTATAAAGTAGACACATATATGATATTTTTATTAATCAAAATAAAAATAATTAAATTGTAATAGTAATTAAATTGGATACACCATTGAAAATTTTGGGTGCATTATGATCATCTAGAATTGAAAAAAAAAACAAATGCTACTAATTTTCTATATTTATTTCTATTTTAAAAATTTTCTTACCCAACTAAGACTTCATAGGTTGATTAATTTGATTCGGATGATTGAATTATTGAGCCACCATTGGGATAAATAATGGTTTTGTTTTTGTCATTTTAAAATATATGATTTTATATTATTAAAAGTATTGACATAAATCTAATTAGTAGCATTTATTAATGAAAAATAACTTAAATATAAAATTTAATAAGAGACAATGGGAGTGAATACCATAAGTGTGAGACTTAATGAGAGGGGTTTAAATGAGGTAGAGAGTAATAATTAAAGTTACATTTTTGATACTTACAATTAAATATGGATTAAATACACAAATATGGGCATTTTAGTAGCCATTAAAGTTGGCATTAAATCTGTAATAAAAAGACTTTTATACCTTTTCTCAAACAAAGAAATGAAGGGTAATTTTAGTAATGATAGTAATAATGATGATAATAATGATAGTAATAATGTATCCAATTTTTGCACGTGACATTTCTAAATGATGATAATGATAGTAATAATGTATCCATTTTTTTTTTATAAAATTCAGGTATTTTTTATTTTTTTATATTTTTGTTTTTCAATATTAATCGGACGTAGATTGCAAAATCCAAATCCGATTATTTAGGTGGTGTTTCATTGATGTTGTTATCTAAGAAAGCGACGACACATCGGTGCCACATCAGAAAAAGTGGTGCTTCAGAAAATGACTTCTTATTTTGCATCGTTTTTCTAGAAAAAACGTTGCTCCAAATCACGCCTTGGAAATCAAGAAAGTGTGGTCTAAAGAAATGCCAAATTGAATGGTTTCTCAGAAAACAACCTATTGCTGTCAATAGTGCAATGACATGGCATCAATGTGGCATCATGTTGGGCGTTGGATAATGTAGACTAATGCTGAAAGCGGTTATACAGCATAAGTACGAAACAAAACCAATGTTGTTTTCCCACAAAATTGCCTATGTGGTAGCATCGATGCCAAACAAAAAAAGAGCCATTTTTTGAGAGAATGGTGCAACAAACCCTCATGCATACAACACCATTTTCTCATAAAACATTTATGAAGCAACAACATCGATGCCAAACACCAACTTAAACACCTCATATTGGGCTATAAAGTTTTAGGAATCATTGACAAGCCTACCTGCTTAGCTGGATTCTTTTTTTTGTAATGACATAATGTTTTATCTTCTTACTATATCTCTTTTTGTTCATTTGTCAAAAAAAAATGTAAGATTTAAAGAGATGGAATTGAATGATGTGAAAAGTAGTAGTTCAAATTACATTTTGAACCTCACAGTTAAATAGGGATTAAATTCAAAAAATGGGTATTTTAGTCAAAAGAAAGTTCCACAATCTTATTCATATTTTCAATAGTAGTGTAAATATAGAATTATAAATGTTTTCAAATTTTCTATAATTTTTTATTTTTATGTCCTTAAAAATAATTCTATTATGTACACTTATTCTTTTGTTTGATATGATAAACATATGATATTATACATGTGCCCAAATGTTTTTTTTTTGTAAAATTTATGTATTTTTTTCATTTTTGTGTTTCTATTTTTTAAATTTTTATTATTTAATTATGACATTAAAAGTTAACACATTTGACCCAAAAATTGAACTATTGATCTTTGTCAAATAGGAAAATAATTTCATTTTTGGTTGCTTTTAGATTTTGTATTTCATTTTTCATCATCAATAAAAATAATTCATGTTTATTACACTTATTATTTTTAATTTGATTAAATAAAAATATCATAAGTGTGTCTAATTTTTCTAACATTTTTTGTAATTTTATATATTTATCTCTATGTAAAATTTTTATTATCTAATTGTGATTTCATGGGTTAACCAATTTGATTCGAATGGTTGAATTGCTTAGTCATCACTTGGATAAAGAATGGTTTTGTTTTTGAGTAAGTAGGGTAAATTGCTGAAACCTCCCTTGAAATTTGATAATTGCAATCACCTCCCCTAAATTCTCTGATATAATTGCAAGTAGACTCCCTCTGCTAGAATCCTCTAAAAAGAGGCACAAAATGTCTAGAATACCCAAGCAATGATCATTGAGGCTGGATTCTACAGAAAAAGCAATACAAATTTTATAAACAACAAAAAATAAAGAATTTAAAGTTGTAGCTTTCCCTATGTATGATTGATGAGAAGGACAAATTTGGAAAATAAATCAATTTCAAAAAAGAGATTGGGAGGATTTGGGCAAGTGACTCATATGAGGAGAAAATTTGGAAAATAAACGTTTTGGTCAAAAGTAATTGCATGGGCACATTGTCATTTTCGTGCTTCTATTTGGAAGATTCTAACAAAGGGGATCTACATGCAACTATATCAAAAAGTTCAAGGGAGGTAATTGCAATTACTAAACTTCAGGAGAGGTTTCATCAACAACCAAAAACTTTTGTAGGGAGGTTTTAGGGATTTATTGAAGTTTTAAAATATATGGGTTTATAGTGTTAAAAGTATTACAGATAGATCTTATTAGTAGCATTTATTAGTGAAAATTAACTTAAATATAAGATTTAATAAGAGAAAATGATAGTTAATAAATTAAATATAAGACTTAATGAGAGTGGATTAAATGAAGTGAAAAGCATTAATTGAAATTTAATTTTCAACCCTCATAATTATAAATGGACTATATACAAAAATATGGGCATTTTAGTCAACAAAAATTCCCCGCCCTCATGTGGCAGGTTAAATTAATTACAAGGTCTTTTGGTTAATTAATTGAAAATTGAATTGCTCCTTTGGTTTTTCAAAAATACCAAATTGAAACTGAACTGATCAATTGAGGCCCGAGAAGATGAAACTTTCTACTTCAATTCTTTAGTCTAGAACCTTTCAGGCCATTCATGGTGGTTTTGATCTTCATCATAGATGTTGAGATCTGTAGATGAAGCAATGAAAATAAAGTATCTGTGTACAACAACAAATGCTTCTCATCTCTACACTTTGCAGCATTTTAGACATTTTTCCACTGAGAGTAGTGTGGGAGTTAGAGTATGTAGATGATTAAAGAAAAGAAAAAAAAACAAATGAGAGAGAAGTATATGCTCATCACCCACATGAGTTTGTAAAGTTTAAGGTATATTTCGATAATCTTAAAGCAAATGAAGGATAAAAGAGTCACAAGATTATGCCTTTTTGAAAAACTAAGGGTATATTTAAGTCAATTTATGAAATCTTAGGGTATCTTTAAGTCTTTTACCTTTTTTTTCTTCCTTCTTTTGACTAAAATTCATCCTAAAATATCTCCCACTCTTAAAAACCTCTCCTAAACTATCTCAATTAACTCTCTTGTTTCCTTATAAAACTCTCTCTCTCTCTCTACAATCATATTTTCACTAATTGCTCTTACTCCACTTAGGAAAGAGAAAATATTATACAACTTGTCACATTTATTGACCATGGAAAGAAATTGCTTGGGAGTTGGTATCCAATTACTGGAGTCGGAGATACTCGAAACGCATTGGTATAGAACATAATACCAATCAATTGGTACCATATAATTTATATATGTAAGAAAAAGGGAAACTGTCTAAAACTCATTATGAGTTTTAAACATTTCTCTTAAACTCACCACAACTTTTCAAAATGTTTAAAACTCACCATGTCATTAAGTTTTTATTTTCCAAAACTCACCTTCCATAAGTGCACCGTTAATGCTTCTTAACAGAGGTGTCCACGTCAGCATAAATAACAATTTTCATGACCAAATTAGTGAATTACCCTTAAATGGCGAGTTAGACGAAAAATGGTCTTCTCACAATTTTCTTGTTTTTTATTTGCATTTTTAATGTTTTTTATAATTTTTTTACACTTTTCTATTTTCTACGATCTATAAATTTTTGGTGTTTTTTCTACAATTTTTATTTTCTGATTTTGTTTTTCAATTTCTATAGTTTCTATAATTTGAAAATATTTTTTATTTTGTTTGCAATTTCTGTTATTTTTTATCTTTTTTTTTGTAATTTCCATGTTTTTATGTATTTTAAAATAGTAATATATTAACACCCGTTAATTTATTTTGTATATATCTTATATTTTTCTATGAAGATTAAAATGGTAATA